TTCTTCTTCTTCTTCTTCTTCTTCTTCTTCTTCTTCTTCTTCTTCTTCTTCTTCTTCTTCTTCTTCTTCTTCTTCTTCTTCTTCTTCTTCTTCTTCTTCTTCTTCTTCTTCTCTTTCTTCTTCTTCTTCTTCTTCTTTCTTCTTCTTCTTCTTCTTCTTCTTCTTCTTTCTTCTTCCTCTCCTTTTTCTCCTCCTCCTTCTTCTTCTTCTTCTTCTTCTTCTTCTTCTTCTTCTTCTTCTTTCTTCTTCCTCTTCTTCTTCTTCTTCTTCTTCTTCTTCTTCTTCTGCTTCTTCTTCTTCTTTTTCGCTTCTTGTCCTAAGAGGCAAGGAATCATCAGTCTGCATACAAATAAAGCAGATCTGTCAAACGGATGTGTACACAAATCCCAAGTTCTGGAATAGGACCAACACCTAAGAGTGGACAAACAACTAGAACTTTCCATCGGATGGATTCTGACATCTAAAACACCGAAGGAAACACACATAATTAGCCAATTTTTACAGCATGCTTGTTTAAGGGGTCAGTAGGTCTATCTCCCCCCCCCCCCCCCCCCACTACCCTCCGCCACATGAATGGGGCTCTGGAGCATATCCACACCGGAAGGGAAACCAAAGGGCTTCAGCCCCTATATTACGGCGCCTCTGTGTCAAGTAATCAGCAACATTTTGCTTACAACACGACCTCCTTCAGCTTTTAATTGAACTTCCACAAAGGAACACAGAACTTCTATGTCATTTTCACAATCACGCTCCACAAAATAGCTAAAGGATGATGTGACCACAACACATGATACAAGATCCACGGGATAAACTTAGCTTGGATGGTGAAGTTGAAGCTTCAGATCAAAAATGACTCTGGTATGCTTTAGCTGTTCCAAGTTTCTTTCAATACCCAGTTAGGGAGCTGATGAGTGGAACAGCCGGTACCTTTTCCTACTCTTATCAGACTAAATTTTGTTGTCAAGATAGCATTTAAGAGGTCAAATTTAATCCTGTTTCTTAGGTTAGATTTGATAAATTCACTACAAATTAAAAACATCTAGAGAAACATCTACCATCAAAACGCCATCTAAATGCAAAGAAAAATATCTAAATCTGTAGGTAAAACATCCAAAGTGGCAACACTGCTTCTGTCTATTACGTCTCGAAATATCTAGATTGGCCTATCTGCTACCAGAGGTCCCGGTTTACATCAGCTGCGTGTAGCTAGACTACGGAGATGCCAACAGCCTCACAGCAATGCTGCTTTCTTCAGAAATATCCTCCCCGTGTGGGTTCCGGGACCCCATGGGGGTGGGGTGGGAGAGGAGGGGTATGTAAAACCACCTCCATCAACAGGGCATGCCGTCAAGTCGACTAATTAACGATGTTTCTTTCGAAGTCAGAGTTTATCTGCATGAAACCATCGTTCTGCGTACAAATAAACAAGATCCGTAAAACGTTTGTGCACGCAAAACTCAAGTTATGGAACAAGACCAATGTTCAAAAGTGGACAAAAAACAAAAACTTTCAGCTAAAGTTTACAGCCAGTGAACGAAGAAGAAGAAGACGGCAACGAAATACCGACGTTGTTTGTATTTGTACGCGTACACATACTAGGAAAAAATATGATCTCTTGTCATCGGCGACCGGGTCACCCAATTAGCTCATCGGTAGACGACTTCGTCGCTGGTCGGGACATTATTTGGAACTGTCTTCCTTTGACCCATGCGCCTTTCGTTGGGTTTCGACAGTGGTATCAAGAAAGCTGACTGTCCAGAAAGCAATGGCAAACTACTAGACGTAAATTTGCCTAGAAAAACCATACAACTGATATGGGCTGTTTTGGTTGGTTCTGCAACGTCCGTGTAAAGGATACGCAGCTAACCTCATTTGATCGCATCCACACTGCACAATTTATTTGTCTAAAACCCTATGCCAAAGATCAAATACACACACAAGCTGTTACAATTTATTTCTCAATGTAAACGAGTTTTTGCTAAAGTCACTGTTTAGTCAAACAGTCCAAAACCCATGTCGTATTTAGATTCTTCAGACTCTTCTTTCTTTTCTTCTTCTTTTTTTTTTTTGTCTGCTGGAGCAAGAGCTGCCGCGTTGTCTGCTGAGGCTGCAGGATCTCTAATCTATCACTGTCATTATGTAGCAGGTCCTTGCAGGCCGTCGCTCTCATCACAAACAGACCTAAAATAAACTCAGCATTTATGTATGTGCTGATGAAGGCTCTCTAGCCGTAAAGTGCAGTCTCGTCTGGTTTGATATCCTTTCACGAATAAAGAAACCCGGCTTCTTGCGAGCCCTTCCACTAGATGCACATTTCTAGCTCAAGGTGTCTCATATGTTCTGTACATACCTTCGTGATGGTGAGCTCCTGCCTCTCCTAGCTGGGACCATGTCCTGGAGCTGTTTTTTTTTTCCCTTCTAATCCGATGTTGCGTTAGACAAGACAGTTTCTGTCTCCGAGACAAGATGCCGTGAACGAGCTAGTTCTCCTTGGTATTCGTGTCTTTTAATTGTCAAAAATAGCAATAGCAGTATTAGCAGTAGCAGAAGTAATATTAGTAGTAGTAGTGGTAGATACAGTAGTAGTAGTGGTAGATACAGTAGTAGTAGTGGTAGATACAGTAGTAGTAGTGGTAGATACAGTAGTAGTAGTGGTAGATACAGTAGTAGTAGTGGTAATAGTAGTAGATACATTAATAATGGAAGTAGTAGTAGTAGTAGTAGTAGTAGTAGTAGATATAGTAGTAGTAGTGGTAGATATAGTAGTAGTAGTGGTAGATATAGTAGTAGTAGTAGTAGATATAGTAGTAGTAGTGGTAGATATAGTAGTAGTAGTGGTAATAGTAGTAGATGCATTAATAGTGGAAGTAGTAGTAGTGGTAGATAAAGTAGTAGTAGTTTTAGTAATAGTAGTAGTATTAGCAGCAATAGTAGTAGTAGTTATTAGTAGTGGTTGTGGTGGTGGTGGTAGTAGTAGTAGTAGTAGTAGTAGTAGTAGTAGTGGTAGTAGTAGTAGTAGTAGTAGTAGTAGTAGTAGTAGTAGTAGTAGTAGTAGTAGTAGTAGTAGTAGTAGTAGTAGTATCAGTAGTAGCAGTAGTAGTAGTAGTAGTAGTAGTAGTAGTAGTAGTAGTAGTAGTAGTAGTAGTAGTAGCGGCAGCAGTAATAGTAGTAGCAGTAGTAGTAGTAGTAGTAGTAGTAGTAGTAGTAGTAGTAGTAGTAGCGGCAGCAGTAGTAGTAGTAGTAGTAGTAGTAGTAGTAGTAGTAGTAGTAGTAGTAGTAGTAGTAGTAGTAGTAGTAGTAGTAGTAGCGGCAGCAGCAGTAGTAGTAGTAGTAGTAGTAGTAGTAGTAGTAGTAGTAGTAGTAGTAGCGGCAGCAGCAGTAGTAGTAGTAGTAGTAGTAGTAGTAGTAGTAGTAGTAGTAGTAGTAGTAGTAGTAGTAGTAGTAGTAGTAGTAGTAGTAGAAGCGTTCCCACCACGCTTCAATAGTGATCACGTGATCTTGCATGTTTCTCCTACCCACCCTGATCCTATCAAAATCACCTGCAGCATCACCCCCCCCCCCCTTTTTTTTTTTTACACACACAACCATTCTCACATTCAAACGCGCGCACACGCATACACACACACATACACACACACACACCTTTCGTCTGACACATCATGAAAGTAATTTAAACCATTTGAACGCCATATTTTACAGCGTTAAAATAAATTATATCCTGCCTGAGTTTTCACCAAATCCCCCCCCCTACCCCCCCCCCCCCACCCTTGCTCCCATTCCGTCAGAAGTCCACGACCACACCCCACACCCCACGCCCCAATCGCCTCCGGTTCAAGCCTCTGCAATGGTTGCGTCGAGTTACAATGGCCACGTGCATTCGGCTTAACAACGATTGGTGGGCTCGCATGCAAATGAGATGGGCGCGTGTCTAGCGAGCGCTGTTTGATAAATTAGGATTCTGGCAGAGCGAAACGCTAATTTCTCTCTCTCTCTCTCTCTCTCTCTCTCTCTCTCTCTCTCTCTCTCTCTCTCTCTCTCTCTCTCTCAAGAGAGTCAAGGAACCAACAGCCTGCATGCAAATGAGCCAGACCTGTGAATCGGATGTGTACACAACAGTCAGTTTCTGGAACAGGATTAGAGACCAGAAGAGGACAAACAACCAGAACTTTCCGCTGCAAAACAAGAGCCGTACTGTAAACTCGAAGGTCGTGGGTCGACCAAGCTTCTGGCATCCCGGCATTACGAAGCGTTCGCATCGAGTAAGCCACAGAGCCGACTGGTTATAATATATTGTCGGATTTTACATGTTCAACACGTCCAAAAGCGTGGGAGAAAATGCCTTGACATCACGAGCAAACACACACACGCAAAACAGGGGAAAAAACTACGAAAAGAAATTAACACCATAAACAAACACTAGCACTTCAATTGTCATTTCTGGAATAACATTAGCATCGACTTCAGCAGCAGCAGCAACAACCATAAGAAGAACAACAGCACAAACAGCAACAAGAACAACAACACAAAAAGCAATAACAACAACAAGAGGAACAACAACACAAACAGCAGATGCAGCACCAATACAAACAGCAACAACAACACAAACAGCAACAACGACAACAAGAACAACAACGCAAACAGAACAACCAAACAAGAACAACAACACGAACAGCAACAACAACAAGAATAACAACAACACGAACAGCAACAACATCAACAAGAAGAACAACAACACAAACAGCAACAACAACACAAACAGCAACAACAACAAAGGAAAAGTATGAAATGTTCACGTCATTGTTTCTGGCTACTGTCATCGCCATCTAGCATGGCAGCCATTAAATCATTAGGCAACTTCTCTTCCTGTTACAACTCTTGTCGGAGGCAATCGATATCATCCTAACAGATAACTCACCGATACGGCTGAATCACTGATGCGAGACGGACTTGCTTACTCACGCGCGCAGACGCACGTTATAATCCAGGTTTTAACCTTGAGCCGTGAGCCACATTTGAGGACGTGCATGCTCGAGTGGCGTAGAGTTACCATTACCTCTGCTGCTTCAGCTGCCCACTATGCTGCTGCTACTACAGATCATACTACTGCTGCTGCTAATGCAGATCATACTACTGCTGCTGCTAATGCAGATTATACTACTGCTGCTGCTACTACAGATCATACTACTGCTGCTGCTACTACAGATCATACTACTGCTGCTGCTACTACTACTAAAACTTTAACTACGGCTACTACTACTACTACTACTACTACTACTACTACTACTACTACTACTACTACTACTACTACTACTACTACTACTACTACTACTACTACTACTACTACTACTACTACTGCTGCTGCTGCTACTACTACTACTACTACTATTGTTAACTACGCTACTACTACTACTACTACTACTACTGTGCTACTACTATGATACTACTACTACTACTACTACTACTACTACTACTACTACTACTAATACGCCTGTTACTGCTACTGCTGTTGCTGCTGATGATACTACTACTACTACTACTACTACTACTACTACTACTACTACTAATACTACTAGCAGTAGTAATGCAATTCTACTAATACTACTTCTAGTACTACTACTACTGCAACTACTGCTGCTGCTACTACTAGAAGCACTACAGCTACGGCAATGCTACTATTACTGCTCATATTGCTTCTATACTACTACTGCAACTACTACTGATACTGCTATTACTATACGACTGCTACTATAAGCACTGGGAGACGCCGTGTCTAACAGGCTGCTACAGGTTGTAGCGGCTAGACGCCTTGTCTAAGAATCCAAAGGTCTAGGGTTCAAATCTGAACGGTGCAGGACATGGTGTTTTTTTCTCTCTCAAAAAATAGCTCAGCTCCTTCATTCTTCTGGTGTCGTCTCACTGATACCAGTTTGTAGCCCAGTGTCGTGGTTTTGTCGTCTCACTGATACCAGGTTGTAGCCCCAGTTTCGTGGCTTTGTCGTCTTACTGATACAAGGTTGTAGCCCAGTGTCTTGGTTTTGTCGTCTCACTGACACCAGGTTGTAGCCCAGTGTCGTGGTTTTGTCGTTTCACTGATACTAGGTTGTAGCCCAGTGTCGTGGTTTTGTCGTCTCACTGACACCAGGTTGTAGCTCAGTGTCGTGGTTTTGTCGTCTCACTAATACCAGGTTGTAGCCCAGTGACGTGGTTATGTCGTCTCACTGATACCAGGTTGTAGCCCAGTGTCGTGGTTTTGTCGTCTCACTAATACCAGGTTGTAGCCCAGTGACGTGGTTATGTCGTCTCACTGATACAAGGTTGTAGCCCAGTGTCTTGGTTTTGTCGTCTCACTGACACCAGGTTGTAGTCCAGTGTCGTGGTTTTGTCGTTTCACTGATACTAGGTTGTAGCCCAGTGTCGTGGTTTTGTCGTCTCACTGACACCAGGTTGTAGCTCAGTGTCGTGGTTTTGTCGTCTCACTAATACAAGGTTGTAGCCCAGTGACGTGGTTATGTCGTCTCACTGATACCAGGTTGTAGCCCAGTGACGTGGCTATGTCGTCTCACTAATACCAGGTTGTAGCCCAGTGACGTGGCTATGTCGTCTCACTAATACCAGGTTGTAGCCCAGTGACGTGGTTATGTCGTCTCACTAATACCAGGTTGTAGCCCAGTGACGTGGTTATGTCGTCTCACTGATACCAGGTTGTAGCCCAGTGACGTGGCTATGTCGTCTCACTAATACCAGGTTGTAGCCCAGTGACGTGGTTATGTCGTCTCACTAATACCAGGTTGTAGCCCAGTGACGTGGTTATGTCGTCTCACTAATACCAGGTTGTAGCCCAGTGCCGTGGTTTTGTCGTCTCACTAATACCAGGTTGTAGCCCAGTGACGTGGTTTTGTCGTCTCACTAATACCAGGTTGTAGCCCAGTGCCGTGGTGTTTATGTATTTGTCCTGCGATTCCCAGTGTGATGTGTCCCGGCTAGGTTATGAAGCAGAAGTACCACTATGGTCGGAATCTATAGTGCGTTTGGGCTGGCCCAGAAATTCTTACTCTTCTTCTTGGCTCCAAGATCCTTACATCGGTGCCAGGAACATTCCTGGGATATAAAGTGGACCGGTGTTGACCACATCCCCCACCTAGTGGTCTGTAAAATATAGGTCTAGCCCTATATGCCCAGTATATCTGAAGGCTCGGAAAGAAGTCCCTTTACCTTTTCTTTACTTCTTTATTACGTTCCCTCTTTCATTTCCACTCTGCCATACTCTTCACCATTTGCCAGAAACCTCACTCGTTGTCACAAATAATTCCCAATATTCTGAAATACTCACAAAGTAATAAATTTAAATAACTTTTTGTTTGAGCCTCTAATAAAGGCACCGGTGGTTGGAAATTCCGTGCTCACGCCGTGTGTGTGTGTGTGTGTCCCGAACTGAAAGAAAAGTTTTGAACAAAAAGAAACAACTGAAGCGATCAATAATCAGGCTAAAGTACAGATAGTGTATCGGGGTCCCCTCAGGCAAATCACGTGATCGTTTTGGGGGAAGCTCCTGATTTACATATAAGTAGCCAACTTGGGCACGTGCGGCATTTTTAATTACCCCATCGTTATATCGCCTTGACCCCGGGAGATTGAGGGGGGGGGGGGGGGGGAGGTGCGGGGGATTTGAATAGGGTATTGATCATAGAAGTTCGTGTTAGTTTTGTGGGACGTACATGCGTGAGTGTGTGTGTGTGTGTCTGTGTGTGCGCGCGCGTGTGTGTGTGTACGTGTGTGTGTGTGAACCAGTGTGTGTGTGTGTGTGTGTGAGCGATCGGGTATGTATGGGTAGCTGTGTGTGTGTGGGAACCAATGAGTGTGTGAGAGCGTGCGGGTGTGTGGTTGTATCTGTGTGTGTGGGAACCAATGTGTGTGTGAGAACGAGCGGGTGTGTGTGTGTGTGGGGGGGGGGGCTAATTTGTATGTGAGAGCGAGCGGGTGTGTGTGTGTGTTTGTGTGTGTCTATGTGTGTGTGTAGGGGGGCCAATGTGTGTGTGTGAGAGCGAGCGGGTGTGCTCGTGCGAGTACTTGTGTGCGAGTATTTGTGCGCGCGCGTGTGTGTGTGTTTTTGGGAACCAATGCGTGTGAGAGAGAGAGAGCGGGTGTGTTCGTGCAAGTATTTGTGCTCGCGCGTGTGTGTGTGTGTGTGCGTGCGAATGAGTAAATGTATGAAAGATAGGAAGGTGGGTGGCCAGGTAAGTGGATAAAAGGAGGCGTCAGAGGGGCTGGGTATTCTAGTACTTGGGGCGGGCTCGTGTGAGCATAAGGGCGTATGTAGCATGTCGTAGAGAACGACTAATAAGGCAATATCCCTGCGATTTCGGAGCCCAGCTGCCTTTGCGGTGAGGAACCATCGGTCTGCATACAAGTAAGCTATATCAGTAAAACGGATGTGCGTGCACAACGAAATTTTTCAAACAGTGCTAAACTCCAGAAGTGGACGAAGAACCAAAACATTCCGCCGGAAAAAGAAAGAAAGAAAGAAAGAAAGAAAGAAAGAAAGAAAGAAAGAAAGAAAGAAAGAAAGAAAGAAAGAAAGAAAGAAAGAAAGAAAGAAAGAAAGAAAGAAAGAAAGAAAGAAAGAAAGAAAGAAAGAAAGAAAGAAAGAAAGAAAGAAAGAAGAAAGAAAGAAAGAAAGAAAGAAAGAAAGAAAAGAAAGAAAGAAAGAAAGAAGAAAGAAAGAAAGAAAGAAAGAAAGAAAGAAAGAAAGAAAGAAAGAAAAGAAAGAAAGAAAGAAAGAAAAAAAAAAGAAAGAAAGAAAGAAAGAAAGAAAGAAAAGAAAGAAAGAAAGAAAGAAAGAAAGAAAGAAAGAAAGAAAAGAAAGAAAGAAGAAAGAAAGAAAAGAAAAGAAAGAAAAGAAAGAAAGAAAGAAAGAATGAATGAAAGAAAGAAAGAAAACAAACAAACAAACAAACAAATAAATAAATAAACAAAGAAAGAAAGAAAGAAAAGAAAGAAAAGAAAGAAAGAAAGAAAGAAAGAAAGAAAGAGAAAGAAAGAAAGAAAGAAAAGAAAGAAAGAAAAAGAAAGAAAGAAAGAAAGAAAGAAAGAAAGAAAGAAAGAAAGAAAGAAAGAAAGAAAGAAAGAAGAAAGAAAGAAAGAAAGAAAGAAAGAAAGAAAGAAAGAAAGAAAGAAAGAAAGAAAGAAAGAAAGAAAGAAAGAAAGAAAGAAAGAAAGAAAGAAAGAAAGAAAGAAGAAAGAAAGAAAAAAGAAAGAAAGAAAGAAAGAAAGAACGAAAGAAAGAAAAAAAAAAGAAAAAAAAAAGAAAGAAACGAAAGAAAGAAAGAAAGAAAGAAAGAAAGAAAGAAAGAAAGAAAGAAAGAAAGAAAGAAAGAAAGAAAGAAAGAAAGAAAGAAAGAAAGAAAGAAAGAAAGAAAGAAAGAAAGAAAGAAAGAAAGAAAGAAAGAAAGAGAAACAAAGAAAATGAGAGAAAGAGAAAATATAAATAGTAAGAGATACACACAGAGAGGCCGAGAGAAAGAGAGAGAAAGTGCGAGGGAAAGAGAGAGAGAGGAAGAAAAAGAGACAGAAAATTAGATAGAGAAGTATTTAATTACCTACCAAATGGATGACTGGGATAGTGAGTGACTTATTCACAGATGTGTGATCCAAGAAGTGATGCAATGGGTGACTGAATCTGTAGAATGCTGAATTATTCATTCAGTGAGACACTTTATGAATGAGTCAGTGACACCATCTATTGATTAATGAGTCAGTGAGTGAATAGCGTAGTTGGCAAAGGCGTTCAAAACAAGGATGACTGCAGTCGAAATTATATCAGTGAGTAAATGCTACAAACAAACGTAATCTCACGAGGTGTTTGGGGGATTCGGCGGAGGGGGGGGGGGGGGGAGGCGGGGTTGGAAGAATACAAGGACCTAGAAATGAACTCGCCCAGCTCCGCCCATCTACTCCCTAGGTCACCTTTCTTTAATGCTTGGTCAGGCTGGTCAACGCTGCTGAAGGCTACAGGTGTCCCGGTGTACTACTGTACTCTCTCGTGGGACCTAGGCTCAGTTTGTTGGGGAGGGAGGTTGTGGTTAGGGCCAGTTGTACATGTTATGAGGTCGTTAAAGGAGCTCACATCCTGTAACATAGAGCACGTGTGGTCGCCGGTAGGAACGTCCACTAAGCTGACGTCCCTGCTACTCACTCTTGCATGTCTCACAGGTTAAGTCGGAGAATGAACATCAGATCACAATGTCCCGGCCAGACTCCGTCAATCATAAATATGCAGATGGGCGGAGCTGGGCCTGAGATCGTTAGATGTACCGAACACAAATACGCATAGATACAATCAAACGTTTCGTGAGAAAATGTTTTATCAACACCTCTTGTTCTTGTAAACTCACCCCTATTCCCATTCCCAAATGAGATAACACGTAAATATTACCATCCCGTTGGTGTGTGATGTGGTTAACACTACGCTGGCCGTCTTTACTTCCCAGGACTGCACCTGATACTCACTCAAATCTGGGTCGACCAAGGTCATTTGTGAAGACTGCCAGGTTCCGTCAGAACCCGATAACAAAATATGCCAGCAATCCAGTTGAGCAATAAATGTTGTGTATTTTCATTATTCAATATAGTAACGGGAAAACATTGCTTTGCAATAAATACATGGAACTGCAACTTCATATCACATTTATGGCGTTATATCCTTGTAATGTACATAACATTGCCTAGACCATTTCCTGAAAGAAAGTCACATTATTCTGCAGTTTCGTGTTGTAGTTTGTTACGTAGTCTGTCAGTGATAGTTTTTCAATAATTCCGTCGCATGACTCATAAGACTAATTGTGTCGTTCTCTCTTCAGCATCTATCGATTAGTGTTTAGTCACAGAGGCGAAGATGGCGGTTTTATAAGTCATTCCTCCACCGCCTCCTGTATTTCTGCTGCTGCTGCTGCTTCCTCGTCTGCTTCCTCTTCCTCTTCCTCTTCTTCTTCTTCTGCTGCTGCTGATACTGCTTCTTTTTCTTTTCTTCTTCTTCTTCTTTCTTCTTCTTCTTCTTCTTCTTCTTCTTCTTCTTCTTCTTCTTCTTCTTCTTCTTCTTCTTCTTCTTCTTCTTCTTCTTCTTCTTTTTCTTCTCCTTTTTCTTCTTCTTCTTTTTCTTCTCCTTTGCTGCTGCAGCTGCTTCTACTTCTTTTTCTTCTTTTTCTTCTTCTTCTTCTTCTTCTTCTTCTTCTTCTTCTTCTTCTTCTTCTTCTTCTTCTTCTTCTTCTTCTTCTTCTTCTTCTTCTTCTTCTTCTTCTTCTTCTTTTTCTTTTTTCTTCTTTTTCCAAAACTTAAAGTTTTGTGTACATCCGTATTACAAATCTGGCTTATTTTTATGCAGACTTTTAGTTTCTTACCTCTCGCGCAGATGCACTCCGACTTGGAAGGAAGCTCCCCTAGTTAGTCGCCTAGTACGACATGCTTGATAGGGCGGCAATCGGAGTATTCTTGATCCCATTGAAATAAGACCCCTGAACCCAAACGGGGATATTCAACAGCACTATTACTGATATTAGTAAAAGTTAGCCCCAGGCCGGTTCACACATGATCTCTACTGAAAATCTTGTCATTAAAGTCGGCTTTCCCAAAGTTTAACATTCGATATTCGCAGATTGCCTTCGTTAGTAAGTTCTCTATGATTCATCAACAGTGAGCACTCAGCCGAGCCTCATGCACACGCATGACTGACTCGCTCGTGGAAAGGAGCGTGAGTTCACTTGGTAAATGTGTGTGTATGTTTACTCACTCCGCGGCCGGGCTGTCTGATCTTCCTGGCTTTGAAACATGCGTGTTTGTTTTTCACAGTCTTAGATCTGGAGAACTGGTGGTGTAGTGAAAGAAACTCATGCAGGTCGGTTGGACTGCTCACCGACCCAGGGATAGGACGACAGTTGTCACAGGGACTGGCGAAGACCGACCGACAGACCGAGATCAACCGTGGGACTGACCGACGACAAAGAGAGAGAGAGAGAGAGAGAGAGAGAGAGAGAGAGAGAGAGAGAGAGAGAGAGATATGGGGACTGGGGAAGGTGGGGTGGAATGAAAGGCGGAAGCACGGACGGACTTGGGAAGTATTATTTAGGTAGACAGGCAGAGAAAGAGAGAAAGAAAGAGAGAGAGGGGGGGGGGGGAGAGAGAGAGTTAGCAGACGTACAGAGATACAGGCCGACGTGCAGAGGGACGGAAGGAATCGACGGATGGACGGACGAACGGACGGACGGGCAGACGGACGGACGGACAGACAGACACTTTAAACAGACAGTCAGACAGACAGACAAGTCGCTGTTGCATATAGATGGTGTGTCACGTTCTAACTGAACATGTTGTCTCGTTGACAAGAATATTTCCTTGTTGCCTGGTCGGCTCGTTACAAGGTCAGTTGGTGGGTTGTGCTCACAGGTTATTCCTTGTAGGGCGAGAGAAGTTGTCAGCTGCGTAACCTTTACATGACGTTGCAGAACCAACCCAAGCACTATTTGGCTGTTGTGGTTTTTCATGGCACATTTACGTCCA